ACCTAGCTGCCACAGTCTCTCTTCTAATGTGTAGGCACTGTTCAGAGTTCTCTAGACTATCTAGCCCGTCTGTGCCTCCCACTGCACCTTAGGACTGCCAGGATAACAGATTCATGCCTCCACGTCCAGCCTGAGGGTCCTGAGGATGGAAATCCAGTTTGAGGGTTAGTTACTTTCACTTATTCAATATTTTACATCACATGTATCATGAACAATCTTTACATTATTAATTATAAACTATGATTATTAACATATATATTAGATCTTTAACCTTTTAATTGAATATATAAATATAATTTAATAACCAACTCCCAGAATAGTACAGAAGACAGCCAACATTAAAAACTTGGATATATGATGACCTAAGAAAGGCCAGTGCATGGAGCGTATGATGGAAATGCTGCCAACAGCATTTAGTTGTCATCGAGTAGAAACTTACTTGTTTCGTCTTGTTTTGTTAATCCAAATCCAGAAGAATATAGCATGTCTGTTTATGGTTATTATCAAGTATAAATGTGTTCACTAGAATATTCAGAGTTGCAATAACATTTTACATACCCACATTTATATTAAAAATTAGAACAATAAAAATGGAAGAATGGTCAGCACCCACAGTCCTCTATTTGTCTGATTCATAATCACATATTTAGATAGCTTTTGACTTCATAGTTATTGGACATTCAGAACAATAATATCAGAAAGCGAGGGACAATAATTTTAAGAAAATAAAATTTTCCTTACAATGGCTTCTTAAACCCATCCGCATATGGTATGGGAGCTCTTTTTCTTTTGGCATTACTGTAATGCATGGGTTTCACATAGATCAGTGTCTTAAAAAATGCCCACCAGACAGGATTTCTCTACAAAATTTGCCTGGAGTCTTCCTATTTCTCCCTGACTTCCTGTCAGTCACAAAGTGAGCAATTTTCCTCCATTGTAGTCTCCTGTCATGATGTTACCACAGTTGAAAGGCAGTGAAGCAATCTGTTGATGCACTGGAATCTCCCGCCCCCCCCCCCTTTGGCCTGCTGTCTTAGCATTTGCCACAGCAACAGAAACACATGTTATGTCGCAGCTGCATGTCTTTTCCTGCAACGTGGAGCAAAACGACCATCCAAAATCCCAAGAGAACAAAGGAGAGTGGAGTGCGAGAAAAAGAGGATAAATACAGGAAAGACCAGGGGTGTGCAAACACAAAACTATCTTTGTTGAGGCCAAGAAAGAGATCACCAGTATTAAGAGTAGAGATGAATTGAATGGCTGCATAAATTTTTTTGAAATTCCCTCAAATAATTCACAATTGCAGTGACGCAAGCAAAATGTTAGTAGGTTGAGTTTTCTACAGATCTGGAAATTTTTTTCTGTCAGTAAATCAAGGCAAAAGAAGAAAAGGCCACTGAAGTTGTATCATTGAAAAATTATGTGAATAATGAATTTGAAGCTGGATACAATGGAAATGGAAGGCAAATGAAGCTCCAAGATCATACTTTAATGAATTTACATTTTACTTGGATACTTAAATTGTGTGTCTGTGCAAATCATTCTTCAGTGCAAAAACTCTTTCATTTAGATGGATTCCCTTGAGTCCCTTTGTCAAAGATAACAGACATCTTGGTGGTCTTAACAGAGGAGAGGCTCTCTCTCTTAAGAGTCTATAACCATGGGAACTGAGCCCAGTAAGAGGAGGTGCTATAGAGGAGCAGCCATGAAACCCATTGTGCTGTATGGCAACTTTAAAAGCAAATTTTTAAAAACAGTATGGATAACAAGCAAACAAAACATAACAGCATTTAATTATTCTCACCACAGTTCCCAGCACTGAATATTATCACATTTTTAAATAAATTTTTGAAATTAACATTTAATTTTTTTCTTTTCTTCCCTTCTCTTTTCTCCTCCAACCCCTCCCATGTATTCCACCTTACTCACTCCTGAACTCATGGTCTCTTTTACTTGAATGGCTGTTACACATGCATCCATGCTGAAGTCTCAACAACATGACTGCCTAAACAAGCTGTGGGAAAGGGTGGCACCAACGGACTTAACTTGGACCCCAACTTTAGACACAGAGTATGTAATTTCACGGCTGAGCATTAGGTATCGGATCATTGGGGTGCTCTTTTCTGGAGAAGACTATTTCTTCCACTCTCATCATTCCTTAGTCACCCATACTTCTGCATCTAGAGTTAGGGGCCCATGTTAGCATGTCTGTTGGTATCATTTTTCATATGTTGTTTACCCAGCCATGTTGTTGGGATTTCATGTGTGTAACTTCCCTGACATTTCCAGGAGGTGAAATCTCATAGTAAGCTTCCAGTTCCTCTGGCTCTTACAATCTTTCTGCCTTTTCTATGTTCCGTGAGCCTTGGGTGCAGGAGTTGTATTGTAGATCTACCCACTGGGGCTGACACACCTCGGTCCCCTGTTCTCTGCATTTTGAACAGCTGTGGTTTTCTGTAGTGGTTGCCATCTTTCACCACGAGAAGTTTCTCTGGAGGAGGGAGAACTTCTCTTGTCTGTAGGTATAAGAATAAACATTTAGAAACCAGCTAGAAATTTATGCTGGTTTAATTAAATTGATACTGTAGGTTTTCCTCCATGACCTATAACCTCCTAGTTCAGAGTAGTCCACTAGTGATCTAGTGTCAAACATGATTTCACTCTTATTGAACAGTCTTAGGTCCAATTTACAGTCATTGGGTGGCCAGTGAAATGGTACCACTAATTTTTTTGTTTTTGTTTTTTGAGACAGGGTTCCTCTGTGTAGCCCTGGCTATCTTAGAACTCATTCTATAGACCAGGTTGGCCTTGAATTCAGAGATCCACCTGCCTCTGCCTTCCAAGTGATGGGATTAAAGGTGTCTGCCTTGTTTAGTAGCCAGAAGTGGCAGAATTCTTAGAAAAAATGTTAAAATGGGAAAGCTTATCACTTTCGGACTAGTTGAAATATAATCTTTATGCTCCGTTTATCAACTAAATTGAAAAATAATCCATTGATATCAACATTTCAACAGAAATGCATAATATTTAAAGTTATTCTTTAATCATTTTGAATCATATTTTGTCTTCAAAGAATTTCTCCTAGTCCATCTACATTTTTCTCCTTTAAATTTTCAAGTGTTTTAATTGTGTGGATGTGTGTGGATGTGTACACGTGAATGCCAGTGCCTGAGAATGCGAGAAATATCAGACGTCTCTGGACCTGGTGTTTCAGATAGACATGAGCTGCCAAGTGTGCTGGGTGCTGGGGACCAAACCCAGGTCCTCAACAGGAGCAGTACATGCTTTTAACTGATGATCTTGTTCTCCCACCCCCTATAATTTTCACTTATTTTGAAACCGTGTCTCAGTGTGTAACTCTGGTTGTCTTGGAACTCACCGTATTGACCAGGCTGGCCTCAAACTCAGGGATCCTCCTACCTCTACCTCTCTACTACTCTGCCTCTCTGTCTCTGCCTTGTCCTGGGATTAAGGCCTTGCACCACTATGTCAAACTAAAGATTTGTTTATTTTTATTTTATGCGTGTGGGTGTTTTGCCTGCATGTGTGTCTGATGGCAACATGAGTGCACGGTGCCTATTGAGGTCAAACAAGGGTATTGGATCTTCTGGAAATAATCTTAAAGATAGTTGTGAGTCATGTTGTGCTGGGAACTGAACCCATGTCCTATGCAACAGCAGCTAGTACTCTCAATTAAAGAGCCATCTCTCCATGAGCAATTTTCAATTTTTTAATCCTATTTTTTAATGAGTGTGAAAATGGATGTCAGTTTTGGCACAAAAACCTCATTCATATATGTCATGAGGGAGTTAATATTGACAAAGACATAAAAATTGACTTTCTTTTTACTGCTCTAGGATTTCTCTGTATGCTTTAGAAATAAACTTTTAAAAAGTAAATAAAGGCAGCTTGCCCTCAAGTCATTTACAGTCTAGCTGGAAAGACAACTGCCTTAGCAAAAGTTTATTAAAAGTGGGTGCCAAGGAAACACGTATGTGAACACAAATTATTAAAACCAGCCAAAACAATCTTCAAAAACTCTGAAGAAAATAAAGTAGAAGTGGGTCACCTGTGTTATACTGTTCCCTAGCAGCTCCTCTTCCATGACCTTCAGTCTCACCCTGCTGGGTTTTCTGTCTCTAATACGCCCACCCCATTGCAGATAGTAGAACCTGAGCAGCCTCCCTGATAGTCCTGTATTCTTTCCCATTTGACTGACTTGATCCACATTCTCACGCACAGCAAGCCTGATTTTCAGTTACTCATACGAGGCTGCCTATTCCGTTTAGAAAGAATAGGACAAACAGTTCACTTTTGGGTAGATTTCTTTCTTCTTTTGATGTAAGAAAATGGTCCTCTAAAAGTCTTCTGATGTTGGGAAAAGATTGAGGGGGGGAAATCACTACATCCTGACCAAGAGATAAAATCCAGAAACTCCTAACTTAAATTCTCCCTCCTCTTTAGATAATAGATGTACACATGTGTGACATTGTTGACTGTGTTGTTTGATTAAATCTTCTATTTCCACAGGCAATGGGTCTGTGATATAGTGATCACACCTGTTCTATGGAAGAGGATCCTTTAAATCCTCATAGAGTTAAGTAATGTGTAGAGTTAAATAATGTAAAATCATTGTGGATTTTCTGTTAATGACTACAACAATAATGGAACAATAAAAATGAGAAAACAATAATCAAGGCAACAGAAAGTAGAAATGTATGGGAAACAAATGGAAAAGAAAAAGAACGTGGCTGTTGAGTATATTAGAAGCACTCTAGCATCTGTTCGGATAGAAAGTAGAAAATCTGACCACCCAAAAGAACAAGTCAAATATTTTACATGTAATAAATGGAAGTGGACAGCTGGAGCCATAGCTGGGTATCTGTAATTAGTGGCAGAGACATCTGGTTCAGGCATTACCCACACATCCCAAGTCCTTCTCCAAGTTCTAGCCTGGTGAGTACCCTGACCACCAAACTCATTTTCTCACAACTTTCTAGGTCTTAAAGCCAGAGCCCAGACCTAGTCTGACTACTCCAGGCTGTACTGCTGCCAAAGTCGGCTTCTGCCAGGGCCAGCCCAACCGGCATCTACACACAGGTATTTTTTTTCTTAATTGTACCTAAAGAGTAGTATAGTTTAGGGGTTGTTTGTTCGCTTGTTTTTGTCTGTTTGTTTACATTGGTATTATCAAGGTTAAATCAAGGAGATGGACCCAAGAAGGAAAGAAACCTGGTGTGATGGTGCAGGCCTGAAATCCTAGCATTTCAAGAGGCAGAAGTAGAAGGCTCCCTGTGCATTTGAGGCCAGACTAGAATGCATTATGAACTCTAGAAGAGCAAGAGGTGCACAGCAAAGCCTTCTCTCAAAGCTCTACGGGCGAGAATGAGGGGCAGACTGCCGTTGGTTAAATCTCCACTAATTTCTACAAATTGCAAAAGTGCCCTGGGTGTGACTGTAACTTCATTCACCAGCACCACGGAACCCTCACTGAGGTCCTGGTGGTGGTCCAGCTTTCCATGTCTTCCTGCTGGTCTCCACACCTTGTTCACTTCTGGGTCTGCAAATCAATGCTGCTCTAACATGCCATCTGCTCTGAGAACTTCCGAAAGCTCTCCGTTGAAGCAGAATGCTACTATGGCCTACCTGGAAATAGAGAAAACTGGAGACAACTACAGACTGACTTCAAATCTTAGGTTTGATTATAAGGGTGTGTTCTGAACCTTAGTTATAAAATGAGAAATATTATTGAGCTCTCCCTCATAGAATCCTTGTAAAGATTACATTTGATGTATAGATGTGTCTATGTACACACACACACACACACACACACACACACACAATCAGGCCAACACATTGAATCATGTTCTTATAGATTAATGCAAAATGTACATCAAAATAAGTGTCTTCTGGGAATAAGGAACTGTAAACATGAATTAAAAAATTAAAGAAAAAAGTGGATTCACACATATGAACTGTGATGTCATTCAACACAGCTATCTCAACTAGCAGTATTTTTAAAACATAATTCAAACAAATGTATTAGTCATGTAGTCTATGTTTTGCTATAATAATACACTCCACAGATGAAAATAAAACTTTTGTTATTACTAAACATTTAATATTTTTGACTATGTAAATATAAAAGCTTTTGAGCTCATAGAAACCAACACTTGGAATAGGATAGATTTGCCTGGTCACTGATGGCCATGGAGCCTCAGACCTTCTCACACTGAAGACCATGACCACCTAACAATGCAGGGGAGTAGTCAGTAATGTGTGCCTCTCTTCTGTGGACTGCAAGTCCCTGAAAAGCACAAGGAGAAGACTGAAACTTTATATTGTGTTAATTTGCTTTATGTTACTTTGATATAATGCTGACAAATGCATTTTGAGGAGGAAAGAGTCTATTTTGCTTACTGTCGTCCATCTTTAGGGACTCCAACACAGAAAACAGAAGGTAGGAACTGAAGCAAAAACCAAGCTGCTTGATTTACTTCCTTTGGCTTGCTCAGACACTTTTCTTGAACAACCAGCCAACCTGCCCAGGGATAGCACCATTGTGGGCTGGGCTCTCCCACATCAATTGGCAATCAAGAAATGGCCCCACAGACATTACCACAGGCCATTCTGATGAAGGTAATTCCTCAGCTGAGAGTCCCTCTTTTCAGGTATGCCTAGGTTTGTTCAAATCAACAGACTCTTGATATTACATTCCTTATCAAATTGGACACACAAATTTAAGATATGACTTTTTAATTTCTTGTGCCCAAGATAGCATGTTAATATCGCAATACAAAATACTATCTAGCCTTTAAAAGTCTCATGATCTTTAATTTTTTTCAATACTTAAATCTTCAAATTTTATAAAAATTCAAAGTCACCTGTCCAGTCTGCTCATGAGTGGAGCACTGCTCTCTGGGAACTCACCTCCCCACTCAGAGAGGAATCGATTAGGGCCACAGGAGGACCTAGTCTCAGACCTTCTCAGGAAGTGACTATCACAAATGATCCCACTAGGGGCAGTTAGGGTGGGAGCAAAGGGATCAGGTGTAACAGGGGGAAAGATGGGGTATGTGGAGAGAGTATAGGTAAAGACAACTGGAATTCGGAAGCATTTGGAGAGTGGTGTGGAAACCTAGTGCAGGGGGATCTTCCTGGAATCTATGAAGATGACCCTAGTGAAGATTCCTAGTAGGAGGACAGAGAGGCTGAACCAGCCATCTTCTGTAACCCAGCAATGTTTCCAGTGGTGGAATGTGGACACCAACCCAAGTACAAAACCTTCGACCTAAAACCTTTCCTGCCTACAAGATGTGCTGGGACAATGGTGGCATAGGACTTGTGCGAGTGACCAACCAATGTCTAGTTTAACTTGAGGCCCATGCCTCAAGAAGGAGCCCATGCCCTACACTGCCTGGATCTAGGGTAGAACCAAACATGACTAGAAAAAAAATCAATGAAATGATTCCTAATTATATTCTGCTAGATTCATACATTGGTGCCTTGTTCAGTTGTTATCAGAGAGGCTTTCTTCAACAGCAGATGGGAGTGGGTGCTGAGACCCGTAACCAGATATTATGCAGAAAGAGAGTCTAAATTAGAGGTATCCATCAGATTCTTCCACTCAAAGTTTGGTGGACCCCACAGAATCAGGAGAAGAAAGATTGTAAGAGTCAGAGGTAATTTAGGACATCAGGAGAACATGGTCCACTGCATCAACTAAACAGGACTCATATGGGCTCACAAAGACAAGCAGCAAGCACAGCGCCTACATAGATCTGCACCAGGTCCTCTGCATATATTTTATGGCTGTTAGTTTGGTGTTTTGTGAGACTCCAAGCAGTGGGAATCATGTGACTCTGGGTCTTCTGCCTGCTTTTGGGACTCTTTTCCTTATTGGGTTACCTTGTCCAGCCTTGATGTGAGTCTGTTGCCTTGACTTATAGGATCTTATTCTGTCATATTTGATTGCTGTCTATTGGAGGCCTGTTCTTGTCTAAAGGTAAACAAAGGAGGAGAAGAGAAAATGAGGGAGAAGGTGGGAGGAAGCAGGCAGGAGCAAAGGGAGGGAAAATTATATTTGGGGTGTATTGTATGAGAGAAGAATATATTTTCACTAAGGAACTTTGCCATGACCCTCATGGTAAAATATAAAATATTAGAAATGGGTTTATTTAAGAGATAAGAGTGAACCAGAAATATGCACAAGCTAATGGACCAAGCAGTGTTGTAATTAATACAGTTTCTGTGTGATTTTTTATGTTCTGGGCAGCCAGGAACAAAAAGGCAGCCTCCTTACAACAGTCATGTCTTAAGCTATTTCAGTCTATCCTAGATACACATTTTATAGGAATTTTTGGCTAGCATTCTAACTTCATACACACTTTCAAAACTATGTATTTTCTCTTCAGTGACCTTTTCAGAGAGAAGGTAAATATATCTCAAAAAGAAAAGCCATGTGAAGGAATAACCAAAGTAAATATTTTCCTTAGATGTGTTTTAGACAAGAAAATGTGATTAGAATGAAAACAAAACATTCAAGCTATTATGCATCATATACTTCTCTATCACTATGTAGTTTAGATTGCATAAGTTCATACACATGTTTTTAAAATTTATACACATTTGATTATATATCTCAAACAATTTTTACTATTAATTCTTGTTCTGTCCAGAAGAAACTATGACAAATCTGCACTATTGTCTGGCATTTCTGGTGCCAAAAAAAATCCAATGAATCTATTGCATAGTTAATGTGTTCTGAATGCAAATTTTATATTGAAAGAGAGAGAATTCTGTTCCTTTACATTTATTTAGTGAGCATCACCATGGTAACTGAACACTTTCTGAAGCCTAATTTGTGGCACACACAAAAAAACGTGAAGGAAGATTTTAAATTTTCTATGTTTTGCAGATTCAAAGAAAAATGGTGCTGATACTTCTTTGGGAAGAAAAGGATCAAAGAAACAATATGGACTGAAGTAAATCCTTTTGTTACATATAAAGATTATGATCTCTCAAGCCTATGATTATAGAAACCCACGGAGTTTCTGAAGACCACTGTGATGGCTATTCTTGGTGTCAACTTGATCCCTTCTAGAATGAATGAAACCCTGTGGCTGGGTACACCTGTGAAGGACTCTTCTTAACTAAATCATTTGCAGTAGGGAGAACCATGTTTAATCTGGCTCTTTTGAAAAGGTAAATTCACCTTTCTCTGGATCCTTTAACATGGGAACACCTGCTGTTATTTAATCTGGGACAAACCTTCTGGTATATATACCTATAGAAAGAATAAGAATAAAGGAATCTCTTTGTTCTTTGTCTATTTGCCCTTATTTTGGCTGTCATGTTCATTTCTTCCCTGGAATTAGAATTTATTCTGCCAGGATTCTGACATGTGCTGAAGACCAACTGAGACAAACAGGTTCATAGACTGAACAGTACTGGATTCTTAGACTTTCCATTGGTATATAACCATTGCTGGACTGAAGGAGCACAGCCTGTAAGTAACTATATTAAATCCCTTTAAATATGCAAATATATATCTGATACACCTACTCTGAAGCAATTTATAGTGTGTATGTTTGGTATAGATAGTCCAATCTCAATTCAAAACCACCTCTTTGGCTTCTACTTGGTCCATACAATCATATTTCAGATCACCCACCTCTACCACTTCTCGTCATTAAAAATATGATCAAAATACAATTAATTTTTTTCAAATGCTGGTTTTAAAATATTTACCTTAAGAACAAAAGAAGTAATAGATTACAGAGTAAAACATACATGATTTTGACGTGTTATTTTTGATTTATGCAAAAATGTACGAATCATGAGGGACACCCTGGTTAGATGCTAACAGGTTAGCCTATCAGTTTCATAATACAAGTAGAAGACCTAAGACTTTAGTATCAGAAACAAAAGGTAATTTCTTCCTCCGAGAAACAGCGCCATTTGCATTATGTAGCTAAACTTACTTTGCAATGATAAAATAAACTAGACCAGTGATGTGAACACAGTCAGTTAGCTTTTATAGAAAAATAATCCAAGTTTCAGATATCAACCTTTCTTCAGTGAGCATACCCAATTTATGCTTATGAGGGAGACTCTGTGTTTAGCTTTGTGCAAATGTTCTAGAATCTAATATTGTTTAAATCTTCTGAGGCAATTTGCTATGTAAATATGTTTAAATAAACATCCCAGAACAGTCAGCTGGTGCCTTGACTACAAAGTATAAAAGACATATACTTTGTCTTTAGAGGACTGTCTGGAAACAATAACTACTTGTTGTGCTACACTGTCTTAGCCTCCCTGAAAGATTTTTTCTATAAATATAATACAACATCAGCCATAATAATTAATCTAAGTAAGATGATAAATTGGGTTTTCTGCTTAGTTTTGCTGGTTAAGTATCAGAAGATTACATGTACTGTTTTTTGGATAGTTTGATTCTTTTGGTGACATGCTCAATATGTTTTGTCTGTCATTCTATTGTCAAGTGACTTTTGTCTATCACTAACAGAGAGCAAATAGTATGAAGAGTCAAATATATATTACAGATCAGTTTCAACGGTCACAAAGACATGACCAGATTCACCTTCATTCATGAACAATGCAAGTTTACAGTTGAGATGATTTGAGAAAATGCTTACCAACTGTTGACAAAAAAAATAGATATACCTTCGGGGAAAGGCTGGCTTTCCCACATGTGTAAAAGACACAGCAGGGAGGTGATATGGTACCTAAGGATGAAACAGCAAAGGCCCAAACTCAGTGAGTCTATAGATAAGAAGAGCAAATTGATGCCTGTAACAGCTATAACCTGATTTATGTCTGTAACCTGGTGACTTTTGGTGGCTAAATAGCCTCCTGAATCAAGACATGTCTAATCACTTGATTGCTACAAATGTACATCTCCACTTTCAGCCAGTGCTGAAGATAAAAAGCACAACTCGGTTTCATTTCAGTTGAACTATCTGAACCATCCTAAGAAACACAGGACTGAGAACCTTTCTGAGAACCCCATGACTAAAGGGTTCTCAGCCTCCAGAGAGACACTACAGTAACTTTTGGTAACACAAGCAAAAGTCTAGTCACCTCAGATAGGGCACTGACAATAACTCAAACAAGTCATTCCACCCAAGACCATCTTAGTGAACCAATGGGTTCATTGACATGACTTATGGGGCACCAGTGAGGTGTTATTCCCTGCCTAATTTACGGGCAGCACTACTAAACAGTCTCCCTTTCTTCAGCAACCGTTTACTGCTTATATGACCTTGGGGAGAGCACTCATGAGTTTTTAATCTTTCAGGGATCCTTTAATAATGGCTATTTATTAGTTTCCTGAGTTTTAGGAGCCTAACTCTTCCTTCCAGGATGAATGTTTCAGTTCAGAGGAAATAAAACTCTACAACGCTGCGACTATTTCAGACTCAGATAAGATATTACTCAGATCACACTTTCTGCAATTTTTGATATATCATTTCATTTGATAAGTGAGATATTTAGGCCCCGTCATATCTTATTAGTTGTTGTATCTGAATCAACCCACCATAAAATGGAAACACCATGGTAACTCTATACAGACGAGACTCTATCTAGATGAGATATTCAGCTTTGCAAAACCTAGTAGCAAATTAATAGGT